TTTTGAAGCAGACATGCAGCTCCAGGGATGTGGCTGGCCAGGCTCATAGAGGAGGTTTATTTTAGGTCTGGGAAGTGCTCCTATGTAGAATGGGAAGGTGACAGGGAGGACCTGTCCCTTCAGGCTCATTTCTCTTAAGCAGAAAAGGCTGCTTGAAAGAGAGACCTGAGGATAAACACATCCTCATGATGAATCCTCGAGTGAATGCTTCTCTAGTCATCTTTCTGGTCTTTCTGTTGATTAGCAGTGTCCCAGCTGGTAAGCAGAAATCAGTGCTCAGCTGTCATGGATATAAGAAGCAAACAGCTTACATTACCTTCTGATGCCAGTCAGAGCTTCCTTGGTCTTTTCTCCTCAGGACCCCATGACCTTGAGAGGTTTGCATTAAGCCAGAACACTGTATTTTAAGTCTTTGGGGTGAATATCCCATGAATGACCATAACTTCTCTAAGCTGGGACGTTTTCTGTCATTATCACAAATGATGAAACTTTTCTGTCAGGCGCCTGCAAAGTGTTGGAGTGCCAGCCTGGCTTTTACAGCCCTAGAAGGAAATGTTGAGAGCATTGCACTCTAATCTTGTAGCAGAGATCTTCAAAGGGGAGGCTGTACTCTGGGAAGCAGTGTAAGATTAAAATGGATCCAGTCAGCTTGCACTTGTTTGACTACAGAAGTAGCCACCAAGGGCCAGGCATTTGGGAAGGTTCTTGAGTGCAGCAGCCACTGAAGGTGTAGGAGGGAAGAATCTCTCTCTGGGTCTCAGGAGTCCCTCAGAGTGGTGCAGGGTGAGTCCACCCCAAATCTTTTGCTACCCCTCTCATAATGTGGGGGAAGGGAGAACAGCTTATCTTATGTAGTCAGGGACCTGACCAGACTCATTATTGTCCATCTAGTTGTGGAGAATGTGCTGGGGAACAGATATGTCGTCTGATCTTCGTCAACCTTTTTTTTTTTTTTCCTCTCTTATGAAGTGTTGGTCCTGGCTACAGGCAGTGCAGATAAAAGTGTCTATTCCCACTACCCCAGAGAGCCTCCAGGCTCTGGAGACCCACTGCCTCCAGAGAGCAGCACACTGGGAGGAATGAAGGGCCATGGGAATAGTAAACATTATTTTATTATGGAGACAGTGTGAGGACAGAGGAGGAACACAGGGAAAACACTATGATAGGACCACAGACAGTGCTTGTGTTGGGGAGAGCACACCCAAAGACACTCCAAGAGACAAACAGGAGAAGAGGGAGAAAGATGAAAACAGGAGACTGAGCAAGACAGACAAGGAATAGAAGAGCCACCTTCTTCCATTTTATCCAGGGAGTGGCAAGAGCAGACCTGGGGCTCTTCATCCGTGAAACAAACAGTTTTCTGCACACCATTCTGCCATTTTCCTGAAATCTCTGCTTTTGCTCCTCCAGGCAACCATTAATCTAATATTAAGCCCCTTAACCTCTCTAATTGTTCCCTTTCAGTGTCAGCTGGTTTCCTATTAACCTTTCAATCTCTCAGTAATGCAGTTACTTCTGACTCTAGCCAGACCCAGCTCTAAAGCTTTACCTCCGGCAGTGAATTTTCCAAGCTTTCACTTTTTTTTTTTTTTCCTCTTTCTTTTCGGTAATGATTATTACTGCTGTTAAGGAGCCAGTTTGAACCAGCCTCTAAGTGCACGAGGCTGAACCAGTTGGAGTCTATAAATAGCCCTTCACTAACCTTGTACTTTATTTCATTAGGTTGATTGGCTTCCCTCTCTCCACTTCACTGCACCTCTATCTCTCTCTCCCCTCTCCATTATTGATGCTGGTTCTTTTGTTACTATCCGAGACACCTGCTTGTTGATAGCAGGGTGGATCAGCCCTGTACAAAATAGTGTTCTTGCTGGAGAAGCATCTCTAGAGTTTCATGACAGAAGGAAGGCAGAGGGTGAGGCAGGTCTGAGACAGCAAGTCAGAAAGGGTCCATGCTGCGCAATAGGAAAATTGTGTGGCTGAGCACCAATCCCAGGGACAGAGTTTGCCACCCACAGGCTGGTGGCTTTCTCCCATGACACACAATGTGATTATACTCGAGTGCAGCCTCCTGTGTGAACCCCACTGTGCTATATCAAAGCCAAGGCATGTGCCCAAGGACAAATGGTGCTGCAGTTCAAACCGAGCAGATGTACAGATCCCAGAACTGTCTGCTGTACCTGACACCAGTCCTTTGGCCATTTTGACATCATTAGTTAATATACTACTGCTGCTTGACCCTGCAACCTGGCAGAGCATAGCTTGCTTCGTTGACCGTCATCATGTCTCAGCTCAAAAGCATTTTCAGCCTCCTCTAATTCACCTGCTTCTTCTAGTTCTAATAAAGTTCCTTAGCTCTGCTCAATCCTGGTGCTTCTCCCTACATGCTGCTCTTTCCTCTTTTTTTGTAAAATACAATGAATGTTTGCACCAAAGACTGAATTAAGCGATTGCATAGGCTGACCTGAAATCTCTGGGGCCAGCGTAAATTGCAGCTCAACTTCACAAGTCTGTGTCTGAGAGGCACTTGCAAACGGCTCGTCTGCAGCGATGCAGTGGGGCAGAGCATCTGCCAATGCTTCACAAGTACTGGGAGTGCAGTAGCATAACAGGTTTTGTTTGGTGGATTCAGCAACAGCCATGGTTTCTACAGGTGGGGAAGCGCCATCCCAATGCGGAAGAGCTGGGATTGAGGATCCAGTCCATTTTGCTCCCTGACGAAAAGCAAGTTCTTTCCCTGTGAAGCCTCCTTTTTCCCCAAAGAGAGACACTTAGAGGAAACTTTTCAAATCTGTGCTTAGGCTGACGTTTACAGCCTTTTGCTTCAGCCCAGAAGAAGGATTTGTGTGTCTAAAAGCTCTTCTGTTTTCTCTAGCTGTATCATTTGTCTAACACCAGCTGTTACCTTTCCCTGAGAGTCCTGCCTCAAAGTCAACAGCAACTTACCAAAATAATAGGAGCCATTCTCTTCTGCTCTCTGTACAGCTCTGTGTGTTCCTACTTGCTCACTTACTGCTATTCCTTGTTGTTGGAAGGGCAGATTCTGGCAGCAACGAGCCTTTGTCTTATTTTCTGGCAAACAACCTCAGTCTGCAACAAGGCAGGAAAGGCAAACAGTGAAGAAATGAGAGCTGGTAAAACCGGGGTTAGAGGAGAAGGTTAACTTCTGGTAGCTTCTTTTTTAAAGTTTGATGGGGGAAAGGTGTTGTAAAAGCACCAGATGTCTGGAAAACAAAAACAATGAGTGTGTGCTCACTTTCCGTTGCCCACAACCTCCTTGTCTTCATGTTTATCCTTCTAAATTCCTGTGCCTTGCCTTTGCTCCTGTGCCTTTTAGGTACCCAGGTCTCAGCAGAACAAAGAAGCCTCCCTGAGGGCTGCAGCAGTGCTGTGAGGTGGTCACTGGGGCAGTACCTCCCTCCCTCCTGCCTTTCAGCCCTCCCAGTGACCTTTTTGGTTGCTGTGAGTTATGGAGGGAGCTCAGACTCTTCATGTCAGGGCTCTGGGTGCCTCATGGTGAGTGGGTTGATGGCTGAGCCAGGCCCTGGCTGTGCTTATGAAGGCCTGGGCTCAGGCCAGGATGCTGCCCATCATTTATGGTAGACAGAGGGGTCCCAGAGGCCTCTCTGGTCCCTGAGGCCAGTCAGCACCGTCCTAGCAGAGCCCTGGCACACCAAGGGGCACAACTTGGCCCTAGAAGAGGACCCGGGGGCTGAGGGGAGCCCCCCACGCTCTCCCCCCCACACTGCTCACACACTGTCATGGTCTGGGGGTTCTCAGAGCCCCTTTAAAACTTCCTCCATGTGCCCCTCACAGAAGGTCCCTTGTGCCCTTGTGCTGCTGGTGAGCACACTGCCCTTCCACAGTGGGCACCGTGCTGGCCCTGGCTGTGGGGAAAGGGGAGCAGGAGTGGCCTGAGCCAGAAAAGCCTGGCAGGATGGGGGTGTGTGACTGCAGAGCGACATCTCTGTCCCGCCTGCTGAAAATCCTGCCGGTCAGTGAAGGTGATGTGGAGTCCTGTGGAGCAGAGCATGTGTTCAAAGGGGAAGCTGATGGCAGAGGTAATGCCCATGGCAGAGCTACCCCTGCTTTTGTGATCTGTGTTATGTTGGGTGAATGGTATCAGACCCATCGTTACTACAATCCAGTTGTCCATTTTGCCTGGTTTCCATGGCAAGTCCCGTCTATTCCCCTTCCCTTGGGAAGCTTCCTAAATATTTATCCCAGTGATCAATCATATGACCCCACTGTAGCAATGTGATATGGCTTTAGCTGTGCTAATCAGCTTAGCTTGGGCCCCTGACCCCTGTCATCTTATTTTAGGAAAAAATTTTACACAGTGCCTGGTAAGGGCTGTTCAGTCCAGAGGATTTAAATCCAAAGTGAGAAATAGCAACACGGACTTATGCTTTTTTATTTTGTAGCCAGAACTGAGTTTACCATTATTCTGATTTGTCATTTCTCTAGGAGGAGTTGAGCTTTGAATAATACACAAAGAGTGAAATTTCATGACAAAATTCTTGACTCTTGACTGCGAACAAAAAAACACCCCAAATAGTAAATGTTGAGTGCTTTGGCTGAAGCACTTAAGAAATGTTCAGTCATCCAAATGGACATTGAATCCCTTCCCTCCTTCCTCCTCCCAACTTTAAATGAGGCCCCTCAAAGCAAAATAGGCTCTAGAGAATAGTGTCTGGAGCAGGGGACTGAAAATATGTGCCTTGAACCTCAGGAGGTTTTGTGGGGAAGACATCGGAGGACAGATGGACCTAAAGAGAAATATATTCTTGAAGTGTTTTTTCCTCCACAGAGAGATGTCTCAACTCCAAAGCAGCAGCAGGAGCCAGAGGTGAATTAGCAGCCAAGAGCAGCCAAGATCCCAGCTCATCAACTGCTCGTACTGGTGGGAGAAAATGTGCTGAAAGCCAAGCCTCTTTCCAATGCTCCAGGAGTGCAGTGCAAGCCCTACAGACAATATATGAAAATATGAGCTACATCAAATCTGTAGGAACTTGTTTTATTAGGCACATGAGTACTGACAACCTTCTCTGTATAATCTCTGAAGGGAACAGACTGGCTTTGTAAGGGAGAGACAGATGAGGACAAACTATCCTTGGATAAAAGAACAACTGGAAATATGTTGTGTAAGAGAAGGATCTGGCAGAATCTGAGCACTTTCCAAAGCTTGAGAACTTCTACCAGTGGCAACTTCTGTCATCAGCCCTGATGGTGAACATCCCATGGGCTGCCAGGGCAGGGAATGTCTCCAGACCCGCCTAAGGGCTTTCCCAGTCCAGCTGCTGCAGCAGCCTCATCTCCCAAGTTCCTGAAGCACCATCTGGATGCAACAAGCAGCTCTTCAAACTCCTGTCTGCCACATCTTCAGTCCTTCCCCCACCCTGTGAAGCTTGTCTTCAAGTGAGTTCATCATCCTGCTTTCTCAGCAGGTGAAAATATCCTTCTTTATAGCATCCCAGGGAAGACATGGCAACTGCTGAGGTGTCATAGCAGACTTTGAACATCCTCGAGGTTTTTGAACTTGTATTGTCCTCTTGACACCCATGACTTGAATATAGTCTGGAACTGATTAACTTGGCTGCTTAAGTCTCTGGAAGGGAATGTTCTTTCTGCAGTTAAATATTTACTTATCATTGCACATGGACCAGGTATTACAGAAGCCCGAACAACATTTGCATTTTCTCCCCATAAACTGAAAAAGGAGCATCCTCCATTATTTCAGTGCTGCCACTTCCATCCATCATAGTTGTCCAGTCATGTCTTGTTCAACCTAGCTATTTTCTTAGCTTCAGCAACGTTCCTAAACCATGAGATTTATAGCCCACACCATGGGGAGCCCAGACTGCACATCCAAAATATTCCTTGGTTCCAAAGTACATCCTCAGAGAACAACATGAATCTTATTTCTGAAAATAGTGTGCTTCTAGCACTTGCAAGCACCTTTGCATGACATTGAGGTGTTGAGCTCTCCCCTACCCAGTCTTCCACTGGCAGAAGGACTTTTACGATAGAAATAATTTCTGTCTTGGGCAGCACCACAGTGAAGTGGTGAAAATGGTAAAATCTGAAGCATTGGTAGGGGCCTTTAGAAATACTGGGGTATTCCCATATTCCTTCCCTTTCCTACCTGCTTTAAATGCTGGGGTGGGTACCTCTGACCTGCCAATATAGCTGAGAGGAGCATATCACCCCTCTCTGCTGCGACCCAGCATCAGACTGCTCCATCCTGACCATGGCAGGCCAGAGAGAGCTGTTTTCCAGCCCCAGGACTGGGTCTGGCCCCCAGGATACCAGCAGGTTGGCACTGCTGGATCTGTGCAGGGAGTGAGGAGAAGCTGGGAGGTGTTTTGGCTCTGCTCAGGGCTGAGTAAACAGAGCAGCTTTTGCCTGGGAATAGGTACAGTCCCTGACCACACTGGTGACGCAATGACATCCCTGTTGCTCCTCCTGGCAGGGGGAGTCTCCTGTTTCCTCTGGCTCAGGCAGAGACTCTTTTTTTTTTCCCACCCCCTTGGCACCTGACAGCTCACCATTTCAGTCACCAATGACAGCAACCAAAAAATAATGCTACTGTACTCAGTTAATCCATAGGAAAATCTCACATCGGCACACAAAAGGTGGAGACGGTGCTCACGCATTTTCCCCTAAGGGCCTTGGGCAATGGAAATTTTCTCAAGCTCCATTCATTAACGAAATAGATGAACAGTTATGTAAGGTCACATGAGGGAAGTGGTTGGTCTTTGGTCAATGAAAGTGTTAGTCACACATCATTGAGCTGGTTGGCCCTGGGAGGAATTGTGGAGCCACCCGTTGCATGTTCAAGGACTGAAGAGGGAGAACTTTAGCTATAATTCCTCACTATGCCCTGAGCTTGGGCACCACCTTTACAGACCTGGCATTGCAGGAGGCATGTGGTGCTGCTAAACCAAAAAGCAGGGAGTGGAGGTCTTTTGAGATCCTCCATACTTTCTTCTTCCCAGATCACTCAACCCTCCTCTGAAGAAATTCAGCAACCACCTGATGATCTTGGGGTGCCAATGTGCAGTCTGTTCTTGAGGTACTCAGCAGGTAAATAAAAGAACATGATACAATTCAGCAGTCCCAGGGCAGATAAAATCTGTATTAAGGCTCTCAGGAACCACTAGAACATTACTAGAACATTCAGCTGAGGGAGGATTTTCAAGGATCTCTTCTGGAACTTGTCCATTACCGAGGTGGTTTGGACTTTTTCTCTCCCTCTTTGAACCAAGGATGATGCCATCATACAGAATTTCTGTGGGACTGACTGTAGGAGAGAAGATAGGGCATTGACTGGCATTCACACGTTAGTACCCAGTTAGACATGGTCTGCAACACTATTCTCCCACTTCTCACCTGCTCTTATCCTTGTTCCAGGCAGCCCAGTAGAGAGTCCTCCAGTCCTCTGAACTTGCGTTACCTTGGCCCTTGGCTCTTCTTAGCTTCTGCTTTGGGGCTTACAGACCTGACTTTTAGACAAGGATGTCTTGCAGACAAATCAAACCAGCTTTGTTTGCCGATTTGCTCTAATCCCTGGATGTTGAATGACCAGCTTCAACCTGCTAGTGTACTTTCACCTTGCAGCCAGTCCCTTGAAGGTCATTTCAGACCACTGGAGAGGCAGGGTGACAAAGCTTGGCTGGCAGCCTCCACAGGACATGGAGCAGCAGTCACCTGGCCCCAGCTATCAGCAGGACTCACAGCCTGATGAGTGCAGAGGGCAGAGGAGGCCTGCAAAGGAAGCTCGTGTCAGGCAGGTGGGGAGAATGTGGGTGTCAAGTTGTACCTGAACCATGATCTGATGCCTGAGGGCTGGTAATAAGTTGTAATTGTGTAAACCAAAGTGCCTCCCACATTTGCTACTCTGTCCTGAGCGCTGAGGATGTGAAACCCTGTGAGGAAGACACCTCAACCCACCCAGGAGGGGCTGCAGCGTAGATCTCACCCTCAGTAAAAGCCCAGCTGTCTCCCTGAGCAGGTGGTTTCCAGGAAGAGCCACATTCCTGACTGTGAGGAGCTGAAAGGACCATGTATGGGATATGCCTTAAAATAGACAGAGATATAGGAACAGAATTCAGGTCCCAGGCAATGTGGACTTGATGGCATCTCAGGCGTTTGGTCAGGAAGGGAAGTGCTGCTAAAACTACAGCTGCCTCAGCTTTGACTGCAAGTGTCTCTCATAACCTTAGGGTTGTTTTCACTCAAGGAAAGGATTCTGGTTGAGATTTTTGTGGGTTTTTTCCCAGCCAAATTCCGTTCTACTTTATTGTTTTCTGCTTTCCTAAAAGCCAAGCTGAGCAGAAAATAGATTTCTCGTTTCCCAAAGGTTTGAGATATTGTGGAAAGAGGCCTATCTTATATTTGGAGAAAAAGTTAAAATCTCTAACCTTTCAAATAATTGATATTTTGCTAGGGGAAAGGAAGGCCTTTTTGAAATATTTTATTTCACTAATCTTAAAATGGTCTTTTTGGAACCATTTTACTATATCTAGCCTTCTGGCTTTTAACAACCAAGTATTTTATATCTGTAGTGAAATTTTTTTCTTTAAAAAAAATGTCTAAATGTTATGATACCTAGAAAAGGGATTCCCCCAGCAGTATTTCAAACTGGCAAGTTCTTTGAAAACATATTTTCTCCAAAAATTATCTGGTTCTGAAGAACTGGCAATAAATTTGAGAAAAGTTTGGTGAAAAGTTTGCAGCAAATTCTTCTGAAGCATGTATCTTTTCACTGTAAAGCATTTCCTGGCCATTTGCAAACCGAACAGTGATGGGTTGAAAGACAGAACTTCTTGATGGCAGCTGAAAAATGCAATGAGATGAATTTTGGCTTCCATTCACTCTTGCTGCGTAGTTTGGCTTTGCCCTTTGAAATAGCTGCTACATGTTGCCCATCAAAAAAATTCACCGCAGTATCAGTTGTTTTGGTAAAATCCTCTGAGCCTGCAGAGCTCTAAGAGCTGTTGGGACAGCACACTTCAGGTAAGAAGAACCCAGAAGTGCTCAGGGTACAACATCAGTGAGCAGGAGGAGAAATGGGTTATTCCTTATTGCCCACCTGCTGCTTTGCTCTCTCCCTGGCACAGCCTGACTGCCTTGCAGCGTCTGCTGGAACGCGTGGCACCCGGAGACCATGTGAGTTAATTATTAAACAAAATGGAGTCATTATGCCCTCTGCCACTGCTGTTCCTCACATAAATCTGCTGCACAGTAGAAAAGCGATCCCGTGCAATGAGAACAAAGAAACCTTTTCAGGATGAGCACATTTTCCTCTGCTGGAGAGCTGCTCTCATTTCACCTCCCTGGAAGAGTGATGCATTTGGTCTCCATAAAGGTGGGGGGTTTTGGAAAGACAGATGAAAGTGATACAGAGCCTCAGGGCACTGATTTCCATGAATAATCTCCCCAGCTGTTAGCCTAGGTCTGGAGCCATCTTCTTTCAGAAAATACGTTTCTACTAGCAACATTTCAGGGTCCGGAAGGAAATATTTGCAAGTTACCTTTGGCATTTCAAGGCCAGCACAATTTCCAGTGAGCTTCCCTTGAACTTCTAGATAAAATATTAACTCCTGGACGAGGTGCAGAGGCCCTGGCAGGCTGTCAACCAGCAACACAATTAAGGAGACAGTCTCTGGTGAGATAGCATCTACTGCTTTAAAAAGCATCTGTGATTAGTTTCACTTGACTGACACACAGGAAAAAATGAAGACTTAGATGTGAGATCCCCAGATGCCAGCCACCCGGGGAAGGGTCCCCTTTGCTGAAATAGCCCATCATCTCAGCTCTGGGAGGGGATAGAAGAGAGTTGGTCTGGTGTCACTGCTGTGAAGGCTTTCTGAAGCCTTTTCTCTCACACAGAGGGGAAAGGGTCTCTCCCCTGTGGCTGCTCAGCCTGGCAAACATGGGAGTCCCATGAAGGACATGTGCTGTGGTAAAAGGGGTGCATGGGCTGAGACTCCAGCAGATGAGAGTCCACTGGCTGCAGGAGGGCCCTGGCTGAGGGATAGGAACTGAAATACTGGCAGGGGGTGAGTCAAGCCATGAGACGCTGGTGTATCTTAGATGTTTGGCTTGTGCCCCTAATGTCCAGGTACCATGTGCTCAAGTCTCTGCCTTTCACCAGTCAGCATAGTGGCGCTGTGGAGGCAGAGCCCTGTGGCTGGAAGTAAATAGATGGACAAGAGTGGCAGTTTCCCTGGGGATTTAATTCCTGAGGATCACTGCTCCAAGCACTTCTGAAGGCAGCCTCTATACTTGATGCAGGCATTTTGCTATCCCTGTGTTTGCTGGCCAGTGCAAAGCTGAGTTGGTCCTTTGCTGCCCTCTCAAAGAGGGCAAAGGTTTTGGAAGGAGTCCCTCTGCTTTGCCACATGCTGTAATAGCAGAGAAAGAGAAACATAGAGGTCATGTGGCTTAGGCAAAGCCGAAAAGCAAAGCGACTGGCAGGGCTGGCCATGGCAGCCAGGACTCCTGCCTCGTGGGAGGCAGCCACTGGCTTATAATACTACTTCTCTGAATGTTGTTTGAAGGGACAACACAGAGCACACGCCTGCTCCTGCTGGGCTCAGTCAGTTGTGTTTGTGGTGGCTCTTGCTTTTCTTCAAGGGTTTACCTTGGCTCTTTCCCTATTGCTTCACTGGCACCCTGTGAAAGGACTGCAGTGACCCTTGTCCCCTGGATGCAGGAGTGCCTGGAACAGACTGAGCAGTCAAGAAATGTGCATGTGCTCCAAAGCTGGCTAGCTGTGTTTTGCAGGTCTGCTGATGTGAGATGTGCCACAGCGGGATGTGAGGGCCTGTCCCACTCCCTGTCATGTATCACACCCCACAGCAGTGCTGTGCTGTGGTCACCTCCCTCACCCGTGACCCCACAGGCTGCACACACCTGCCCAGCCTGCCCTGTAACCTCTTAGCTGTGATGTTGGGCCTCATCCCCTGCATGGTGCTGGGTATCTCTGCATTCCTGATGCATCTCTGCATTCCTGATGCATCTCTGCATTCCTGATGTATCCCTTTGACAAGGCACCTGCTCACACCTCCAGAGTCACTCAGCCAAGCACTGCCTTTGCTTCCAGGGTGCAGGTGCTGTGTCAGAGGTCTGTAGTAACCTGCAAAAATTCAGTGGGCTGCTAAGGGAAAGGAAAGCTGGTGACTAAAGGACACCTTGTGCTCCAGGGCTGTGTGGTCCATTTTAATACCAGCTCTCCTTCACTCTGCTCCCCATCCCCTCCTCCAGACAGTAACACAGGGAGATGGTATGAAGGGGCCCATATCTGCAAAGACTAGGGAAAGCCTGGACATGAATAAAAGGTACAGCTGAAAGTCTGGCCTGCTTCAGGCTCACTGCACTCCTTCATTCCCTCCTGAAGCAAGCAAGGGCACATCCTTCCACAGAGAGTGGGGGCAAAGCACACCTTGCCAGTGCTCTGAATTGGCTGGATGTGAAATAGCTCCAGTACTGGGGAGACATAGGTGCAAAAGACCTGAGACTGTTTTGAAGCCTACCTCTTGGTATCTGTAATCCACCTGCTTTCCACTTCTGTATGTTTACTGCTGGCATGAGCCACACAGGAGCTTTCCTCTCTTTTTCCTCTCCGCCTCTCTGAGTGGTTCAGAGGTCAGGTGTCATCAGCTGGTTCTGGACAAGAGCTAACTGAAAAATGTGCTAAATTAATGTTAGTCCTCTATTTCCAAAATTGACTGACTCAGGGAGCTGCAAGCACACAGCAAAATCCTCTCTAGTGCCTTCTCCGTTGGGATTTCTTGAGACTTCTCATAATTGAAGATATGAGAGCAGTCTGGTCATCCTCAGATCATTCTGAACTAGTTCCCAGTGATGCCCTGAGCTGTGTCTCTCCCCTGCCTCCCTGCTTGTTAGAGTCTTGGTTTAACCTTTGCAGAGGAACAGACATCCCTCTGTAACCAGGCATCCTGTTTTGCCTGCCTAGAACCAGGACCTCGCAGCTCAGCGCTTTGTGGACTCTCAGCATCTCCACTGCATCACGGCCAATAGACATGCAAGCAGCTTCCCAGAACAGCTCTGTGTAAAATATTCAGCATCTTAGCAGGAGCAGGGTGTCTCATGTCACATCACTTAGGTTCAGCTTAGCTCTAGGTCAGTATTTACAGGTGGATTATTTTTAAGTAGAAATGCAAGTGAATCTAGTTCATTGATAGGTTCAAGTTATAAAGAAAATACACAAAGGTCATGCAGAATTAGGATTTCTCTCTGCAGAAAGAAGTTCCTTCATTGCTCAGTATCTTGGCTAACTCATGAGGCTGCCTTAGTCTGTGCCCTAAATAAGGACTAAAGTGCTGAGAAAAATCCTAGAATTTCATCTTTCTTTCTTCTGGTGATAAAGTCAGCTGAGGAGATAGCAGGATATGGAATTTGGGCAGTCAACACCTTCTGTCTCCTAGAAGGGACTGGACCAGCCTTCTTCTCTTGCCCTCTGTAAACCTTAGCTTCCTTAGTCATTGTGGTGGGAAAACACATGGAATTAAGTAATTTTGTCTTCCCTCCTTCCCAAAGAACCTTTATTTATTGTTTCTGCTTTACACCTTGATTTCAGGATGTTATCCTGGATTCGGATGTTTAAGTGTTTTCCCAAGCCGGCAGCCTCCCTGTAACCATACAAGCCAGAGATTAGGAGATACATATCACAGCAGGGGATCTGGCACAGCGCGCCTCTTTTTTCCTCTGCTTGGAAAGAACAGGGACAAATATTAGTTTGAGATGAAAGAGAATGTCTTCACTTTGTTAGGAGCAGGACACTGATAATGGCTTTGCCTCACATGCTTGGCTAGCCTTGTGCCATACCGTGGGAGGCTGCCAAACTCGAGTTCAGCTGATCCCTTGCTATCTGCAAGGGAAGGCAGAGCCAATGCCCACTCAACGGGACTTTGTCCTCCCGATGGCAGGCAGCTTATGAAACGTCAGGCTTTGCGTGTGCTGGCATGGCAGGAGGGCTCTGGCCCTCACAATAGCGGCGTTCTCTGCGGGCTCAGCTGGAAGAGGCTCACACAGAGTTAAACCTGTGCTTTAGAGCACTTTTCA